TGATGTGGAATGCAAGTGACAAATTTCACAATAAAAGCAGGCAAAAGAATGCGATGATTAACATAGTAGATCTGAAGGTTATCATACATATTTGCACCAAACACAGAAACGATCATCATCAGCTTGGTATATCAATATATATCATCTTTTCAAGAACCTCCTCATCAACATACATCGAATGCTGGCTAAAGTACAGTAATGGTAAATGAGATAGATTGAAGCCGACCTCCATAAAAAGATGGTATTTAAGAACCCGTTGAACTGGCTTGAGCAGATAGGCGCTTAACGGCAACGAATGTCCCAAGATGGTCTGCCGTAAGGCGAGAGTCTCAACCACCATGTTGTTCTTCATCAGAACCGATAATGTATCAACCATTCTAAAGGCATAAAATTAGACGTCGATGGCAAGCACAGGCGAAAAAGTCGACGTTTGAAGTTTTCAGTCGACGTTTGAAGATACAATAATAGAATTGTTTCAACCTACTTTTGATAGTTAGTACAATAGGTAACGTAGTCCTTGAAACCGTCCATATTGTCAATGAAACATTTGGCCATCTGCAACTCACAACGAATTATCAATAAAGAACGAACAAATTCTGAGTTAATGAAACGATGTAATAATCGATTCATTTCCTCATCATAAATAAATTCGACACTTCCATGAAAAGAATCGAATACCGTGAAATGTGTGGTTGTTGTACTGGTGTGAATTGTGGTTATTTTTATGGTAAGTGTCAGAAATATCTTGAGAAATAATTGTGCAAACGAGAATTTCTCACTAAAGCAACGTTGAGAAGCGCTGCATCGAGTTGATGATAAAGGCGTCTGTTGAAGATGAAAATGCGCTCGATACATCCGAATGTGTTCGACACATCGTCCACTGTCATTTGGAACTCTTCGCGATGGTCGATGAAGAAATTCAAATAACCCTTCAAGAACGAACATTTTTAGACATGCATCATCAATTACAAGAATACTTTTTTCTCTACTTTTTTGGTTCAGACTGCATTTGTCAGTTACCATACGAGGCGATTATGTATCATTTGCGTTCGGATGCTATTCGTCTCAACAGTATGATTTTGATGAGCGACAAAATTGCTCAACGAGTACTGATATCTACAATCGACAAATCGAAATACTTTCAGCGGCAAACAAAATTATTCAGCATACTTGAATGATATCATTGAGATCGTTCACGTAACAACGTTCCGTATCCAGCAACTCGATCGCAATACGGTCCAGTTGTGTTGCGTTCCCATTTTTGAGAAGTTTTTGTCGGCGTGACTCAGACAGTGATGCTTCACGACTGAAAAGCCACTTGATTGTTTGCTTAATCAACCAAATTTGGACTATTTCGCATAAGTTCAAAACAATCCTACATCATTCGTTCACCAAGTGCAGTAAATGATAGCCTACTGTTTGCTCAATATCAAATGAAGTTAGTTTAACTATTTCGGAAAAAACCGGCAACTGACGGCTGATTGGAACTAATGAATACCAGTTTAGTGAACTTTTCAATTAAAATTACAAGAAATAATTAATCGATGAGGTTGAAATAAAAAGTGTCGGAACAAAGAAACAACTAATGAGGTGCGTACGTAAGAAGACGTCTTTCGATGCTGAAGTCACGCGATTGAAACGATGGAGCCTCTTCACCAATTTCTGAACTTCTTAAACTGCTACGTGCTGAGCTATAGCCAGTTGACGAACTAACGAAACTGAGCCGTTGTAACGATTCCTTCAATGCAACAACGTTTGCGCTTATACAGTTAGAGCAAGGGAAGCAATTTTATCACCGATTGATAAATGAATGCACAGCAAATTCTAGTGTCATCAAGAAAAATTCAATGGCAATTTCGGCCAATTGCTTTGGTTTTTGCGTACTCTCTTAGAGAGCCTTCAATGAAGTCTAGTTGCTAATGAGCATTGAATCGCTAGTGAAAATGCACATACCGTATCTTCATCGGTCGGAGTTTTTCCATTCGAAGATACTGTGGTAAACCTGCCCTCGACGACAGTGCCCATTCTTGGATTAATGCCGCACTTGTCTTTGCTGCTGGCAGCACTCGTTTCCAATTCGTCAGATTCCCGAAGGCTGAAAACATAGATGGGTAAGTTGCCGTTCATTTGAAACGAACGACTCAGGCAAACAAATCGAGTCTTTGAAACTGATGGATTTTCGAACGAAATCTAACGCTCATGATCAGTGCTTGGATTAAGCCGGTCACAAATTATTTAGTTGCGTAGAAATTATCCCCTCATAAAGAACCTCGCAGGACAGTAGGCCTAATTTCTTTTTTCGGTGCGTTCACATGAAGAAGACTTTCTATGCCGCAGCAATTCTATGAATACGAGAGAGCAATTCAATGAAGATATTTCAATTGAACGATTCAGATTACAATAAGTGAAAGTATGCTTGGGATGATAAATTGAGAAGGAACAGATACAAGTGATAATAAGACAGTTCACTCAAATGATACAGTCAACTTGAGAAGACAAAAGTTTGAGCATAATAAAGTGGACAGAAGAAGCGATTGATTCGGCCAAGAAATACCTCAGACGACTTATATTAGTTGTTACCGGGTGAAACGGATTGTATGCATGGATAACATGTTAAAAATCGTTTTGTGTGTAGGAATCGTTCGTGAAATTACTCGTTTTAGAGAAATTATCGGATTACGAGAGCAATTTTATGGTAATCTTGCGTTTTTGATGTTGCAAAGAAAACACATTGTTTATCATTTATTATGAGCAAAAATGGTGTCTGATCAGATCACGAGCATTGAAGTGAACGTCTTGAAATTGGTTGATATTTACGCAGAAATATCCTGTTTGATGGGAAGAAGAGCGTTTGAAAAACAGTCATAAAGACCGTTTAGGCAGTATTAATTGGGTATTAGAGCCAAACAAAATACAGTTGCACGGCTCGAAAACAAATATTCGCTTTGAGGCGGTGAACAACTGAACACTGAAGTGACTTCACACTTCTAACACAACAAACAATCAGATAGTACTTCATTTCGCTAACGTAGTTAAAATTAGTTATAATTAAGGAAATCAAAAGAATACGCCTATTATGGAAATTATGATCATAACGACAAAAACATGCTTCAAGACAGGCGCATTCATATAGGATGAATAGAAAATAAATCGATCGTAAAATTCTAATGCAATCAAATTGATCTGCATTTTCCTGTCTAATAAACTGGAACAATCAAATTAGTCAAACAAATCAAATCGCTAAACATGCTCAACATCAACAATCTCCTATCACCAGAGATTTCCCCTAATCACTCAGATACGGCTGATATCTTTCAAAACATGTCATCCTCAAGATGAATGCAATATTTGTCGGATCAATAGATGCAAAACAGTGTCTGATTGGATGGATCGTTGTTAATGGGATATCTTTTGCTTGACTAAAAATGCATAGGATTACACCCTTGACTGATAGATTTATTTGTACATTCTTGCGAATTATGAAGGAATCGTATTGACTACGAAAGGTTTTGGTCATTTCGCGTGGCTTCTTTACTAATGGCGTCTTGCCCTCAAGCAGTGTGTTCACTTCTTACATTATCTTTTACCGAAAATGAAAGGAATACCGCTACACAATAACACTCAAAGGCAATGTTTTCTGTCAGGCAATAAATGCATCATATCGTGAGTGAAGAACGAACGAAGGAAGGCCTTTGAAACGAATAATTATGTTGAAATTAAAGGATCGAGATGAGACGTATGGAATCGCAATAGATAAGAACATCGTTGTTCAAAACGTTCATTCATTTTCAACGGTATTTCAGGAAGAAGCAAAATAGTCTAAATTCTATCATTGGATCATATTTACTTCTGTCAGGTTGAGACAGAAGAAAATTTGATCCTATAATGAAATTTAGGTAGTACCACAAGTCAGAAATCAAGTTCAAGTAGTGCAATGACCTAAAACTGCCAATAACTTTGAATGGTTACAATCGCATCACTTAACGATCCAGAAAATAGCCAACTGATCGCTCGGAAATGATTCTGAATCGTCTTCAAAACAATTTTGAATGAGTCGCTGAAATGAGGAAGAATGCAAAGGATTGGAATAAAAGGAAACTGACTGAAGAGGAGTAGCAATATAAAGATGTGATTGACCCCTATTATTGTGGTCTTATGTCGCAATTGGGTCAATCGTTGCGCTTTTTTTGAACGCTTAAAGTATGGTGATGATGGTTTTATTCAACAAAATGAACACTTCAGTAGAATCGAATAATTGGACGATTATGAATCAAAAATGACTTATGATGAAACTCAAGAAATTGCAAGACTGTGTATATATTCACATTGAATCGAAACTATTCAATTTGATCAGTGGGATAAGCTGCATTCAATGAATGTGAATTTCAATTCTGTGAGAACGTTAATTGTCATGGTTCTGAAATTTTTTTATCCAAAAAGTTAAGCCAATAAAACGGTCGTTTAAATTCAAGGATTGACCTGTTCGATCATTCATTATTGAAGGAAAATTTCGAAACATATTAAGACAAATGAAGAGTTGCTGCAATTGGGAATTTATAAATTCAAACATGTAACCTCGGTGCTATGCGAATCCATATAATTTCGTCAGTTTCGTAGTCACGCATAATTCCTGATGAAGCTAATAGTAATTGAGTTCAAGACGATAAGATGGGTGCAATGCAATGAACATCAACCGATACAGCCACGAGTTAACAGCCGAAAGAAGTGCGAATTCACTGGCGGAATGAATGAACGGATACAAGAAGAATGGGAGTAAGGATGACGAGGACAGATGCGAACGAAGAAGATATTTAGATGAATGTTGGATTTGTGTATGTCTGAGTGATGTAAAACTGATAATATTAGATCAACTACACACTCTGATAATGATGTGTGCTGCCTGCACTCGAACGTAATCGCAAAAACACTCATTAGTAGAAAAAAAACCAACGATGATTGAAAGGCACACTCATCTGACCTGTCGTTTCAGCACAGACTATGTCGGAAAATTCACAACAAGCAGCAATCAACTTGCAAAAAAGGGAACTTGCAATCGAGCATCTTACAACCGTTCCTATTCTACTTTGCTTCAACTCATTTATACTGCACAAAAAATCTTTCAGTCTTTCACATTTTT